TGTGTGGGAGTATTGGGTTGGAGATTTAGAGTCAAACCCTGGCAGTCTGCCCACTGCAGGAATGGTTCTGCCCCTGTTGAGGTGATGACATTGGTCTGCCAGAGGTGGTGGTGAAGATTGAAATCCCCTGCAATCAAACAGGATCTGGGGGGCAGAGGTTGACTTTGTAGGTGCCTCAGCCCCTCCCCAGCATCTATAGATCCAGGGGGTGCGTTATACAGGTTTAGTAGGGTCACATGTTGGTTTCCTGAGCTTACCTGGACTGCTGTCAAGTCCCAGTTGGGTTGGGGGCCATGTGTTATGAGCTCTGCTTTGAGTTGTGGGTGTTTGCGGATATATATGAGGGTGCGTGGCCTGTGTGTCCAGTCTTCTGTTGGTGTAAAAAGCTGGAAAGCTGGGCTATGCTTGGAGAGGCGGCGTGTGCGGATATTGGAGATCCATGGCTCTTGAACAAGAATGGCATGGTAATCTTGTTCAAAGGCTATTTGGAGGGCTGCTTCATGAGGGGATGGGCTCCAGGCCACATTGACCTGGAGAATCCGCAGTTGTGGGATAGACTTGTTGTATCTCATTGGGTAGGTGCAGGATTGGGGGCCCTTTCTGGGTCTGTGTTGTTGGGTGTGGAATTGGGGATTGCTTGGTTGGCCTGGGTGTTGTCTGTTGCTCTTTGACCTAGTTCTGTCCATCAGATGGCTGCAACTTGTGTCTTGGGGACCTGGATGATGGCCCCTTGCTTGAGACTGGGCTGGACTGGACAGCTTGCATGGTCTGCTGGGGTGGGACTGAAGCAGTTGGCGCACTGGTGGGTGCTGCCATGTGACTGGGGGTCATGATTCTCCTCAGTGTGGTCTTTAGCGCCGCAGAGCCGGCATTTGGGCTGTCAGGTGCAAGTTCTTGGGTTGTGGAAATCCCAGCAGCATGCACATTGCTGGATTCTGGGGTTTATGAATTTGTGTCTGATACAGAGGTTCTTGCTGAAAAAGTGAATCCAGGGTGGAATTTCAGAAGCAGCATTCTCTGGCACTGCAAGGATTATTGTTGATGTATCTTTCATGGTGTGTTCCTGGTTCTTTCTGGACCAGTGGAGTTTTAGTGGAGAGAATCCAGTCTGCAGTTTGAATTCCTCTTTTGCAGCTTGTTCAGACACATTGACTATAGAGCCATCATA